GACAAGAACCCCTTGTTTTGGAACCTGCGAGATGCATTCATCACCCGAGACATCAAGGGCTTAACAAAGGAACTCCAGTATTCTTTCCAGTCCTTCGTGGTTCGACAAACCTTCTCCAAGGAGCTGGAAGACAACCAAAAACGCCTCCTAGATTTCCGGTTTCCTCACGAGTGGTTTCCGGCGACGCGCACCATGCAGCGCACCATCCACGTGCACGTTGGTCCAACTAATTCCGGAAAGACTTACAATGCTCTCAAAGCCCTTGAAAACTCCAAGATGGGCGTTTATGCAGGACCCCTGCGATTATTGGCTACGGAAGTGTATCAAAGACTCACGGCCAAAGGTCGCCCGTGCGCCTTGATCACTGGCGAGGAAGTTCGCATACCCGAGGACACGGACCAATATTTCTCAAGCTGCACCGTAGAAATGGTCCCGCTGAATACAAAGTTCGATGTTGCTGTCATTGATGAGATTCAGATGATTGCTGACCCCGAGCGTGGGAATGCATGGACAACCGCTGTGCTAGGTGTACAAGCCAAGGAGGTGCATTTGTGCGGCGAGGATCGGACTGTGCCCCTTTTGCAGGCGCTTTGTGCCAGCATCGGTGACAAGTGTGTTGTTCATCGCTATGAACGGCTTAGTCCACTCAAGACGATGGATTCTGCCATCAAGGGTGACTACAGCAACCTGCAAAAAGGCGATGCAATAGTTGCCTTCAGTCGGCTATCACTCCATGTCTTGAAACGAAACGTTGAGACCGCGACTGGTCGAAGATGTGCGATTATCTACGGGTCATTGCCACCTGAAGTTCGGGTGCAACAAGCAGCCTTGTTCAACGATCCGAACAATGACTACGACTTTGTTGTTGCCAGTGATGCGATTGGTATGGGCTTGAACCTCGAAATTCGCCGAGTGGTGCTCGAATCAATCACCAAGTTTGATGGCAACCAGAACAGACTGCTCACGTATCCTGAAATCAAGCAAATTGGCGGTCGTGCAGGACGGTATAGAACTGCGCAAAGCGCCGTGGGCGTGAATGCTGAAGAGGCCGAGAAGGAAAAGATCGGCCTGGTAACAACAATGGACCAAGCCGATCTTCGCAATGTTGAGAGAGCTTTTCAGAAGAAGGTCAACGACATTGAATATGCCAGTATACAGCCGCCAGCCGGCATCGTTGAACGATTTGCATCCTACTTCCCACCAGACACACCCTTGTCATTCATCTTGATGCGAATCAAGGCTGCAGCGACTGTCGGGCCAAGATATCGCCTGAATATCAGCAGTGATGTCCTGGAAATCGCCGACATTATCCAAGATCTCCCCCTGACGATTTACGACCGCCTGACATTCTGCTACTTGCCCGTGGCATTGCGAGCGGAAGGCGCTGTTGATGTCTTGCGCGCTCTTGCGCGAGTTGTGGCCAACAACTCGGCCGGTGACCTGCTTTCTATTAAAGAAATACCACTCGAGTTCTTGGAGGTCAAGATGGAAGACTATTCAGGCGGGTCCCAGGAATACCTATCCAAATTGGAGGCGCTGCATGTCGCAATCAACCAATACCTTTGGCTGTCCTACCGATACGCCGGCATGTTTGCAAGCCAAGCACTGGCTTTCCACGTGCGACATCTTGTCGAAGAGAAACTCATTTCCACACTAGATCGTCTTGATTTCACAGAAGAACAGCTCGAGCACAAGCGGAAGAACAAGCGGCGACAGGCTCGTTCTCGCGATATCAGCCGAAAAGCGATTGGTGAAGAGGACGGTCATGAACTGGAGCAAGAGCATGAGCAGGATGACGCTCAACTTCCGGCATCGTCCGGCAAGGGCGAGAAGCTCAGCGGAGGGGGGCAGCATGAAAAGCCCATCGAGGTTGGATCAATGTGAAGTGTGTGTTAATTCGTTAGAAACCGGCCAAAACGGCGTGTATAGTACATCTGAAGAGGGTATGATGGATACTCTTGGTTTTGCATAATGGATGCATTGAAAGGCGTTGAGGATCTTGGGTGGACAAAAGTATCTCTTATAAAACTCCCCTTGTTTACTTAAAGCGGTCACACACATGGACAGTGGATATGCTTGTACACTACTCTTCTTACCTCTTACTCCTGTATTGATAGCTGCTCATGTTGTCTTTAGAAGAGTTAGGCGGCAATGAAAACGGCGGTTTAATGATGTGCGGTGCGAAAGAAAACGGCACCTGGGGAAGTTTGGGATGAGGCTGCATGTGCGATTGGCTCTCAGGCTAGTACTTGGCACCAAGTAACATGAGCTGCATGACGAGGTTTGGTGGCGCGGTTCTTGCAAACGCGACTAATGACGGAGCACATGTGATGAGATGCAGAAGCATGATTTATGCTTGCATATTTGGAAATGCCCAGGCTTGGTTTTTCTCTCAGCCCTTCCATGTTGCCCTTTCTTCAATGTCAACTTTCCCAAGTCGTGGCGACTTGCTCTTTCTTTTGTTTGGTGGAATAAAGCTACGCGTGTCTACGTGTCGACGGTAGCTTATTGAGCTGACACATCGACCAGCTCTAGCTCCAGCTCCAGCCCCACTGTCTGTTTTAAATGTCACTGGTTCTCTTCTTTCCATTGAATACTCTTAGGGCCTCTTTTGTTGCATTTTGGTCCCCTCTGGCTAACCATCGACCGCCACCCATTGTCCAATGCATTTTCTAAACGATCCTGCGATCTCATCCGAATGAACCGACTGAGTTACGCTGAGCATTTGCAGGCGCACCCGTCCTAGTTACTAGTCCGGTACAAAGTGCGCGTCGCCAACGCGTCTCCAGCTCGCGTTGGCCATCCTGCTACTCTGATCTGTTTTGCTGTCGCAAAATTATCAGCTTCTTCCTTCCTCACGCGTCGAACACAGCCTCGCTGCCATGTTGCCCGACATCACTTCATCACGGGAGCAGCTGGGCCCGTCCTCGCTATCCGCAAATGCGACTCGATCCGCGCCGTACTCCTACCATCCCCCGAGCCCTCCGTCTATTCCCATACCTCCGCCTAGGTGGTCTGCGGACCCTGAATGCGCCATGGAGCTCCTGCCGTCGTTACAAGATGGGGACCCAAGCCAGTTGAACGATATACAAATCATTACTCGAAATGAGAGACAGGTCGCGCACGATTCTTCCGATCTTTGGGTGTATGGTAATCGCTATCGGGCGCAGGCCATTCTGGACTTTCTCTATCTCGGTCCAAATTCCGTCATGCGCGATCATGCCTTTCTAGAGCGGGAAGGTATTACTATGATACTCATGGTGCGCCCATGGTGCCTCGCCGCGATGGAATCATCTTCCGCAAAGACGGCCAAAAATGAACTGAAGATATCTGTGGAGTATATAGATGTGAAGGGCCTGCACGACCTCATTCGTGCGTTTCCTAGGGCGGTTACGCTGATAAACGATCATTTGTTGGGTAGAGATCACTCTCGGTCTAGCGACAGCGATAGAGACGCATGTGAGATGGACGGGATCATTGCGCCATCTAGCAGTTTCCGTCGGGGCAAAGTGTTGGTAACGTGCGTTACGGGGATGGACTGGTCACCAGCTATTGTTGCGGCATACGTCATGTCCGTGTTTCGCAAGGATGTGGTGACGACGTTGCAATTCATTGGCTTGCAGAGAGTCTGTTGCGCATTTGACGATGATTTAAAGCGCATTCTGCAGTCGTGGGGAGATATCCTTTCAGCAAGCTCGGCGGTTGCCCAGCATGCACACCACCAGGGCCTAGAAGCGGCAGAGCCTGGGCTCGGCCAACGAGGAAAAGGCTCTGCAATGGGAGCCGGGGCCTCGGCGCCAAAGAGGGGATTGGATGACATGATGGATGTGAATGAGGATGATTGTCAGGACACTGGAGGAGCTTCCCCGGCGGACCTGGACAGGTTTATTGGCCGGGGCCCGTTCGCACCGTTTGCTGATGCCATGCATGGCAATTAGCAACCGCATTTGGTCGAGGTTTGGGGTCTGAGCGATACCAACCATGCAGGCTTGATTTTGGAATTCATGGAACCCAAGGCATTGATCATGAAGGTCACGCGTCAGGGCAAGCAAATCAACATTACCTTTGTGGCAGGCGTTCTGGACGGCATAAACATATGGAGATACCCCTGTAATAACATAAGGAACTCAATGGAGTTAAGGCGAGTATATTTTTTTAGAATTTGACGACAGGGTTGGACTTTATGTTCTGTATCATCTTGATGGACATGCAATCTGCCATTTTTGGTCAGGAAACGTGAAATGCCTTGTTAACAAGCCCATGTGACGGCGGCAAGCGTGGTAGGCAAATTGAGAAGATACCAGACTGATTGCTCGATACGGACCGTGACTCCGGACAAGTGAAGCTGAGGCCTGAAGTCTGCTTGGGCATGCTGCATAAAACATGTGATTTCATCCACCGTTGGTTGTGCGCGCGATGCTTTGTCAAGGTTTGCGTGGAAACACAACGGGGCAAAGCCGTTGTTGCCGCATCCCGAAAATGGAGTGACAAAGCGGTCAAAGGCACATGTTTGATTGCGTCAATATGCTCATAAGGTGTTACATAAATACCCGCCTATTTCTCAGTATCAGTGCACGACCTTGTCATTCAGCATGGGGCGTGTCGACGGGCCTGTATCCGCCGTGAACAATGCCCTCAGTGATCCGTGTTCCAGAAAAATGATTGTGCGTGCGTGCCTGGATGATCAAGCCGTGAACAATCTTCATCCAATCTTCATCTACTAGGAGAATTACGCCTTGTCCCTCGAACTAGCGCGGAGAGGGTCTGGTGCCCGTCACCCCCCCCTTTGTTCACTGTGAATTCACTTTGTCGTCACATTTCCCCCCTGCGAGCCGCACAACGAAGCGTCCATGTCCCTTTCATGGTATTCTTACCCATGGAGTTGCCAAGCATGTATGCCCTTTATGTGTCTATTCTCTCTTTCGCCTCCCCCCCCTCCCCAGCCACCCCGATTTCAAGCCTGTTTCCCATTGTCAAAAACCAAGAGAAAATCCGCCACAATGGCTTCTCGCCAACACAACCTCCGACCTGCATCGGCGCGCCGCATACCGCAGCGCTACAAAAGCAGGGACAAGGAAGGCGGCGGAGAAGCGCAAACCCGAAAGCCGTCTGGAAATCACACTTCGGCTTCTATATCTTCTGCGCGGCCGCAGAGTTCACGCCTCGGAAAGTACTGCGCGTTTCCGTCTCGTCCGCTCAACGATCCGGACCCGGGACCAAGTGAGTTGGTCAAGGCCATGGGAGAGTGCTGCTTGCCCAGCGAAAAGACGCAAGAGCTGGAAAGAATATTGAGAGGTGCGGATTCGCGCCAAGACCAAGGTGAGCGAGCCAGATTTCCCCAATTTTGGCCCGCGATGTCGTCCCCCGCGTGTTTGCCGAGCTGACGACGAAAAGGCACACAAGCGACTGCGACATCGCCGAGGATGGCTCTTGTTGCCAGACTGCCGCCCATGGAATCGGGCCTGGCCAGGTCGCCAGACGACTTGGAGGCACCGCTTGTCCGGGAGGAAATCGAGTGGGGGTCTGATTCGAACGACGAGCCGCCGTGCGCGTATTCCGACATGTCTGGCGCAGGTTCGCGCGGTGGCGAGCTAGACGTCCCGTTGGGCCAGCAGGAGCTGTTGTAGGACAACCTCTCCGCTGGTATTCAATGGGCCATGTGCCATGTACTATGTAAGAAGCACGCGTTCTGGGAGGTGGTGGACCTTTTGGAACTGGGCAAGGTTCAGGTTGAGCGTTTTCTCACCATGTATCTGGTAGAGCGCAAGCTTTGGGAGCTATACGACGGGAATGTGGACAATATCCCGTGGCGAGAGTTGGCGGCGGAGGCGGCGAGGAGAAATTGCCAAATCGCCGATTTGATGACCTTGTATCCCCCGGAACTCAGCACCGACAGGATCACTGAGGGGGATGTTGTTCAGGCTACGGAGTATATGAGGCGTCGGGGCTTGCATTCCGATGCTGCAGATCTGAAGGGCTGGATGGGCCTGAACATGAGCGGCTTTGTTCATCTGGACATCACGGAACCGATTTTTCTCCCAGGCAAGGACGGAGAGTCCCTTGGGAGGGCGCACCGTTCTGGGTGCATTGACATTGAGAAAATCAAGGCCGTGGCAATAGCCCAAGCCAGGAAAATGGCTGACGAAAGTGATCGAAAATGCTGTATAAACGACGCTTCCCTCGGTACGGCCCCCAGAGTCATCCCGCGCTCGGTACAGGACGAGATTATACGAGATGGCATCCACGTCACGCCGCGTCGAAACCGCCTTGTGCGCTCGGGGATTCTCAGCGACATGACTAGCCTTGTCCCAATCAGCTGGCACGAGAGCGACAGTCCGTTCGGAAGAAGCCAGCTGCTGGCTCATGATGGCCAGCCGAGCGCGCCTACGGATGGGAATGCGTATGAGGTACGTACGAGCGCGGGAGGACAAATGCCTATCTCGCCTTCGCAATGTGTGCCTGGCACTTTTGTCGGCACCGCACTGGAAGCTGGGATGACAAGGAAGGGCTTTCATCCAGCCAGCGCACAAACTAACCATCTACAGCCTCCGATACCCCAGTTTGCTAGGTCAACAACAGCCATGGCAGCGATGCAAAGCTTGATCAACTCCAGCGGAGCCGTGCAAGACAGAGACAACGGACTCTTTGGCACAGCCGCCGGGCTAGAAGTATCGGCGGTTGTCAGCGGCGGGCTGTCCGCCGGCTATCAGTCCCTGATCAACCGACGGGAGACACCGGCTAGAAGTGTAGATCAGCATGATACCACAGCAGAGGCCACGGAGCCGCCAGCAGCCCAGGGTTCCCGCAACCCACGAGAGTTTCGGAAAGAGATTGAAGCACTCTCGAATCCAGTTGCCGCGGCCAACACAAACAGCGAAAAGCTCAGACGGGCACTCTTGTCGAGGTTCAAACACTACCTCCAGGAAGACAACAAAGCCCCCGTAAGCAGACCAAGGGCTCCTCGTAAGCACACCCGGCGCCCCGTCCAAGAAAGCACCAGACACTAATGATCTCCCAGGCCCGGCACCGATTGAAGTTGTCGAAGACGACTCGGACTATACTCCTGGCCGCAGCACAGGGAAAAAACGCCGGCAGAGCGTGCAGGCGCAGAAAACGCCCGTGAAGCAAAGAAAACTTGACACGACGCCAAACACCCCAGTGCGATGCCAGTCCCGAGGGGCGCCCATGACAGGCAGCCCAGGAGAAGCAATCAAGCCTCTAAATTTAATTTCCATCGACCCAGGTCAAAAGGCAAGCGGGCAAGAGGGCGCGACCCTCGCCTCCCATGCACCGCCGTCGCCCGGCTCCGTCGTTGCCGTCTCCCCGTGCTCACGGCGCCCATCCAAGGGACCCGGCGCTGGCGGCGAGCCGACCAAGGGCAAGAAGAACGCGGCGCCCATCTTCGGCCTCCATCGGAACCAGGAGCTGACGAGGCCCGTCGACGCGTCCGAGAACGCCGAGTACGCGTGGTCGGCCGACGAGGCTGCTTTCGCCGCCAACTCCCAGTTCGCGCGGTATGCCCTGAGGGCGGACCGGCTCAGAAGCGGCTCGAGGCACTGGCCGGAAGATGCGCTGGCGGCGCTCACCAGGCTCAAGGACGAGTTCCACGCGGTTGAGTTCCAGCAGAGGGGCAGCACGACGCGCAACGCGGGGGAGATTAGGTTTGCAGGGTGCGCGAGCCGGGCTGTGTATGCCGAATTTGCGATGGAGGCAGAGTTTGCGATGGCGGTGAGCTGCGACGGGGGTGGAGAGGTGGATGGTGATGAGGGAGGGAGCTGAGCCTGCCACGATGTGAGGGACTAGAAATGGTGGCATGGGATGCATTGTTGGACATTTCTGGGGCCCATGTATGGACCGTGTGTACGGAGTAGATGGAGTGAGTACATGTAGATTTGGACTAGCATGGTTTGGCGTCAAGGTCTTGCTGATATCAACGATTTACAGAGCAGTTTAATATGTAGAGTACATACCTATATCGACGTTTAATTTGGCTTTTTAAAAGACGAACAAATTGGACGAGGCGCAGCGGGCGCTTGGAGAAATCCATTGCCCACGAATGGCCAATCAACGGTCGCTGCCAAGCTCAACTAGGCTAAGTTGTGGCCCAATTCGGCGGGTCTCGTCCAATCTTTTATTCGACTTGACCGGTTAATTTGGAGGCGGCTGTCCATTGGGGTCTTGAGTCTTGACCGTAAGTGACCTTGTAGATGTTTGTTGCGTGTGCACAATAGACAATGGCTGCCACGGCTCTCACGGCGCCTGGCTCGTGCGGAGTGGTTTGCCGCACAAGCCAGCTCATGGCATAGCGTCGCGGGACTTGACATGAAGCACGAGTCGTTTCTTGTTGGGCCAAACGTGGCAGTGTGGGCGTGACACAATGCCACGACACGACAAAGGGACAGGAGACGAGCCTTGGCAGGGAATTCAAGGCTAGGGGCCATTGGGGGCGCAATACTATAATAACATGAACAGCCCTGCCGCAGCCAAGTGCTGTATCATCTTTCCTGACCTTGTCGAGCACGGCGGTTTGTCTTGTCGCCAATGGCCATGGTCTGTCGACGTCGGGAAGCCGCCACCGTCAGCAACTTGCAATGCTGACTCGTCGCTCCTTCCGAATCGCTTCTCTCCTTTTAGCGAGCGCTGTTTTCTGGATATTTTTTCGATTTCTGTCCGAGCAGGAGATTTACTGGATCCCGCAGACGGCCTTGAGTCTGCGCCAACAGAGCCCCCTACGCTCTCCCGACGCTTCACCGGGTGCGACGGACAGCACCTCACTACTTTCAGACGAACTTGAAGCAACCCGCCAGCGCTGCGCGTCTCATGGCTTCAAACTCTTCATCCCCGCCGGCGCAGCCCGGCGCAAGGTGTACGACTTGTTCATGATCAACTCGGAACTCGACTTTCTGGAGATCCGCCTCGACACTCTCTACGACCACGTAGACTACTTTGTCATTGTCGAGTCACCGCTCACCTTTCAGGGCAGAGAAAAGAACCTCACGATCCGCGACAACTGGTCCAAGTTTGAGCGATTCCACCCCAAGCTTATATACCACCAGCTCGAATTCCCTGCCGACTTTGCACCCCGTCTCACCTGGGACTTTGAGGACCTCCAGCGCGACTCCATGCTCACCCAAGTCTTTCCCAAACTATCCGGCCAACAGGCCCCCAACAGAGGGGACGTCATCATCGTCGCCGATGTCGACGAGATCCCTCGCCCCGAAACAATCACCACCCTGCGATCATGTACATTTCCTCGCCGACTGACCCTCCACTCCAGATTCTACTACTACTCGTTTCAATTCCTCCACGCGGGACCGGAATGGCCCCATCCACAGGCGACGTTTTACCAGGGTCCTGACGAAACCATTACCCCTACGCACTTGCGCGTCGGCGACGGCGGCTCATTTTTCCACCGAGAACTTTTCGAAAAGGGCGGCTTGAAAAACGCCTCGTGGCACTGTAGTAGTTGCTTTGCCACCATTGAGCAGTTGTTGAACAAGATGGCGAGCTTCTCGCACATATGGATGAACGACGCCAAGTTTAGGGATAGAGACAAGATTGTGGAATCCGTCCGGCAGGGCAAGGACTTGTGGGGGCGGAAAACGGACAAGTTTGTCAGGGTGGACGGCAATGCCGATGTGCCGGGGCTGCTGGGCAGAGAGGAAGGCAAGAGGTTTGGGTACATGGTGAACAGGGACGGCGACGGCGCCGGGTTCACGGACTATCCTTAGATTTTATCACGGGCGTGGGGGGGATTGCTCAAAGGGAAAACGGAGGTTTATTCAGGAGTCCAGGACGGGCCACTGTGCCCTGAATGCCTTTGGGGCACACACACAGATCCCAATCTACGGGTCTTCCTGTCTGCAACTAGAATCCCCGTCTGAATCTACTACTTGTTCGGAGTTCATGGTTCAAGTTGTACAGGCCATGGCCCGAGCAGCCACCAAATCCCTTCCTTTGGCAACTGGCAGTCGCCCACAGAATGCGCTCCCTGAATCCGAGAAGACGTGAATAAGAAATCTGATAGTTGATACGTTCCTTCACTTTCCGAACCGGGTGTGAGGGCGTGCCCTGATACGAGTGCGAATCCGGTGTCGCCGCCGGTGTGCAGGCCGTGACGATGCTATCCCCGCAAGCTCGGCATGTCCCAGACCACCTACCTGCACAATGGCAATAAGAACACGGTGCGATGGGTCGCTTTCCGCTCCATAGCTTGGTCTGCTGAATTGCCGCAATGGCCTGCGGTTCGTCATTTAGCGGAGCCGGACGCTTGGCGACGACTTGCAGTGCTTCGGAGACGGCAAGTTGCCGTGTCGTAATAATTGACCGTTTCATTGCAGCCTTGTGACTGCGAGACGGGGCCGCCATGCTAGCCGTTTTGGATAATGCACGCGAGTGAAGCGAAGGAGTCGGTAGCGGAGGCTGAAGCTCGCACCTTGACCCGCCGGCGCCGAAAACGGATGCCGGCTCGGGCTGGGTTCGGGCCGGGCGGCCGGAGCTCGGGGCGTCGCTTGCACGCGGGGAGTGGGCAACGGAGGCGTAGACGATGTATCGTCTATTTGGACTCAACATGCAAGGAGATGCCAATAGTGGAAATTGATGCGAATCTTTTCAACTTTTCATGTGATCAACCTGGTCAATAGTGAGTCTGCAGTCTGCAGTCTGCAGTCTGCTGGTCGTTGGTGGACCGTGTTCAATCTGACTTGTCACCCAAGAGCCTTCCAACACTCAACACAGAAGTAGTATCCGTCCAATCACCGTGTCGCAAGCGGCGCAGGGTTAAAGTTTAATAGCTCTGGGGATTGGCGACAAGGTGTATCTTCGGGAGCGGTTCCATTGGCCGCTTAGCACTTGCGCAACTTGACAAGTCTGCGCTCGGACGTTGGCGGTTCTGCTGGCTTGACCTGTCCAATCAGGGCAATACCGTCTGTCGCCATTTCCCTTTGCTTTTGGTCCATGTTGCCCAAGTTGCCGTGTGCTTTGAAGCTTGACGGGAGCCTTATTGGCGGTCGGACGCAAGCGCCGGCGCCGTGGCTGAAGTTGTCAAGCACAGTCCTGTGAATGCCGATCCCCGTGCACCCGCCGATTATGCCGGTAGCCCTACCGGCTGAGTTGGCATGCGGGCATGTATATAGTCTTGTGAGACGTGTTGATTCAGGTGTAAGAAGCTGCAATTTTACGAATTCACCTTTGTGCCACCTAGAATCGTTGTAGTCATTCACCCTTGGCGGTGGGAGAAGCATGAAGTTGCAGCTGAGACTCGAGTCCAAACACGATGCGCCGTCGTATCGACCAGGCGATACCGTTCGAGGTACATTGCTGATATGGGGATGTCCACGGCGGAACGTGTCAAAAGTCACAGTCACCATGCGAGGTGAGAGCCGGTGCATCATCCAAACATGAATGACGGATGCTGACAACACGGCCAAATACCAGGCAGGGAAACGGCCAGAGTCTCTGCCGAGGCCAACGGCTCTTGTCCGAACCAGCTGAAATACACTGTACGTCTCCTCACTCACAGCCGAGCACTCACGCATCTTCATCTGAAGCTCACCGCTGCAAGATGTTCAAGCAGTCGCGGCACCTCGAAGCGAAGCAAGTCACCGGGTCGGCCGCCGAGCCTCACGAGCACACCTATCACTGCCCATTCGAGTTTGAGCTGCCGACAAGTCTGCCCTGCGCCTGCGCCGGAACCTGCGCGCTCCCGCCGTCAATACACGCCGACACGCCCAAGGCCCGCGTTTGCATTTCGTACTCCATCGCCGCCCGCGTGCAGCGCCGCGTGTTTCACCGGATTACGAGGACAACGACGGCGAGGCGCGAGATTCAACTGACCAGTAGTCCCTGCATCACGGCCCTGCCAGCATCGGCCATCGCCTCGCTGCCAGCCGAGAAGCTGCGGAGGGACAGCGGCATCGGCATCGAGGACTCGACGCTGGCTTTGCCAAGCGGCTCCCTCCCCCGGTACTCGCCTTCGTTGCGGATGGAGGTGATTCTGCCGCAGGCGCCGGTTCTCACCCGTGGACGGGGGACGCCGGTGCGCCTGGTTATGCACACGCCTGCCGAGATGTTGCGAGGCAGTGGCTTGTATGTTCGGAGCGTGAGCATGCAGCTGAGGATGTGCGTCTCGGTGCGCATGCGCAATACGTGGCATCACATTATACAGTCGCGGCGTGGGTGCGTCATCGGCGGCGTGGTGCCTATTCGTGCCGAACGCTTTGAGCTCGAGCTGGGCGATTGGGGGAGCTTCATTGTCGTACACCCCGATTGCAAGCCTTCGTTTGCCTCGTGTCTGCTTAATGTGACGTATTCTCTTGAAGTTGCCGGCGGCATATCCAAGGGTGTAGACGGTCAGATACAGGTACGTCTTTGCCTTGGACCCCGGCATGGTGATTTGTCCCTGACACACGGCAGTATGTGAATACGTCTCTGGACGTGTTGGTGATGGATCCTCCTCCGTTGTATGAGGAGATGGATTCTGGCGAAACAGGGTCGTGATACGTCTGCCGAATCGGCCGTGTATTGTCGAGGCGGGCCGTCCATGGGGATCTGCTGGTCCGACGGTTGAGTTGGACTTGTGCGGTGTGCCACCGCCGAGGGGCTGAGGCCTTGTACGACTTGCCGACTATTTTTGACCATTTAAGTTACTTGCAGGGCTGATGTAGTTATCTCCCAGCTAGTCGAGTCAACTCTCCAAACATCTAGGCCTTGGTCGTGAATGCAACGCTGACCATTTGGCTCCGGGGGCCTTGTTTCTTCCTTGCCCACCTGTACTGGCTTATTATGCGTAATTAGCGGATATTTCTGTACTACCCAAGTTGCCTGGGGTTCCGTCAAGGAGAGTTGGTTGGGCGCTTTCGTGCAGTGGGAATTGTGACGCCGAGATTTGCTGACCAGCAAAAGGGACGAGAAAACACTGGCACGGGTGAACAAGGCTGTACATGGCGGCAGGCTGCTCGAAGCAAGGTTAAGGGCGTGGCTTTGCAAGACAAGACGCAAAAATGTCTCGTATGCGCGATTTTGAGACATGACTTAGATGTCATGCAGATTCTTGAATCAACCTCTGTTCGTGTCTTCGTGATACGTAAACCGTCAGCGTTTACCCATTCGGCTTCCATACTCACAGAGCCTGAGGATAGAGGTGTGTCTGTGTGCCCAACCGCTGCTTCTCGTCTGCCGTCACAATGGTTTCTCTGCTTGACAGCTTTCGCAAGGCCAACAGCGTAACGCCGGTTCGTGTGTCCCACGGCACGTTGACCCTTTGACAAGCAGCCACGGAAAGGAGCGAAGAACCTCTATTGGAGGGCTTTCAGTGAGGCTTCAAGTTCATGCTAATCGGAGTGACGCCCCGGGATGCACCGCGTGCGGAGACTGCAAGAGAAAATATGCCGTGTAACAGCGGGTATACAGCGGTAGGCGAGACGTCCCTGGCCAGATGAGGCGCCTGGCTACCATCAGGCTTTATATTAAAATACATTACGGAGTATATTATAGTAGTCTATAGTAGTTCGTACTGGTTTATGGGCAAATATAGTCTCCCACGGACTGTAGAATGGCTCTGTTCAAAACAGGATTCACATGGACGCCAACGTGTATAATCAAGTGTAGGCGCACGAGCGAGCAACCCGAGTTAGGCAACCATGCCTCTGAGCCAAGCCACCCTTCCGAATCAAACCCTTTCGCGATGAGGGCTGTCCGGCTCATGCAATGTCGATCACTCGGCTTACCTGGATGTACGGACCCTGTACCTGGTCACACCTACCTGCTTCTGCATCCCCAAGGGCCCAGTGCCACCCTACCAGAACAGGGTTCTCTACATTTACATAACAAGATGGTAGCCTGACAGAGGGGAAAAGGCAGTGCCGCGCTCCATGTGTGATACATGACCTGATGTCCCGTTGCGGCACATGCAGCCCGGCCAAGCTGATTGGAAGCGGACGGTCGGCACCCTACTTGCGCCCGACAACCCGCAGGTCCCTTCTTTTCCCCACGGGGAAATCTATGAATTGTCCCGGAATGAGATATTTCCCTCCAAGGTGGGTGGGAGCCGAGGCCATGAAACAATGGGACGGGACTTGCCGGCACAGGGTACACTTTCGGGCGAAAAACTAGACAGGGGGTGTATATGTGCAGGGGCTATGCTGTCTGGTATTTTCAGAGTGATTTGAAGTTGAGAAATATCATGTCTATTTAGCAGCATCATGTACCTGGATGGTCTTTGAACAGCGTATCAGATGAATTGCCACAGAGTAACAATATCCCCCCGGCTCTGCGGATAGCCGTGGCAAATCACGACTGTAGACGCGCGAAACTGATAATTCGAGCAGGTTTGTGTTCTGGGCCACAGCATATCCCACCTTGATTCTTACAGACTGGTCCTTTATTGCCTCAGGCCTACGTTGTAATACAGCATATGTATTCTGCTGCGGTTAAACGCGCCATTGGGGGAAGTCCACCATGTTACAACGGCTTTTTTGGCATCCTGTTGCTTGGATTATTTTGAAAGAGCCTCGTTTTACCGGCCCCAAGCCAGTGTATATTCTTCCTCTCTAGAAGTTCAATCAACACTCCTAATCCCCCGTGTCGACGGATGAAATACAGGGCATCTACACTAAGAGGTATACAAGGCAAAATTATAACAGGCACCAGTAACATTCGCTTTTACTTGGTGTGGTTAAACTGTCACACCCTGGACCAAGATGCCTACAGGGTCGCATGGCAGACATGGCGGGAGTATCTTGATGGCATAAACTTGGAGCCACAATGTTCCCAGCTCACAAAGAGTCCCCTATGTACTATTTCTTGTCAGCATTCTGCAGAAGCATGTCTTGGAATTTGTACCCTGATTGGGTCCGGCCCAGTTCTGCATTTCAGTCCGGCCTCCCATATTCGTCCTCGTACACGGGAACCCAGACACGGTCTTCCATCCGGAGGACTGTAATTATTGCGAGAGACTGCAAGTAAAATGACGACGCATGTCAGAATATTGGCCCCTTCCCCGCAAGCACAGCATACCGTCGCACCAGGCATAGCCCACTTTGCGAGGAGAAGAGTAATACCAAAGCTTTGGCGAGACTCTTACCCAGCGGAATCGGCCGATTTGGCTCTCTTGTCAACGGAGAGAGACGCAGAGACGCCTCGGGGTCTATGGCTCCTGGCTGACGGACAAAAAATATAAAAATCCCCCTTCATCCCGCTACCAAAAGTTGGACAGACCATCATCGACAAGCTTCGTTCGTGAACATCAAAACTACCAAACCACCACACAAACTCAGACCCAACACCCTCCAAAATGAAGACCACTCTTGTCCTCGGCCTCTTCACTAGCAGCATCCTCGCCGCCACCGTGGGCGAGGGCGTCAAGCCCGCTACCAAAGACTCTTCTGCCCTGTCGAGCGTGGCCCAGAATCCCATCAACATCGCCGCCTGTACGTTGATTCCTGAAAACCTTGAAACCTCACATCTTCATGCCGAGGGACTAACCGTGCATAGCTGGGAGCCCGGATGCTTGGTGCGGAGGGTTCACTGCCTACCAGTGCTCTGTTTTGTGCGGCAACTATGGCTATAGCTGCTACTACTGCAGCGCTAGCTACTGCAACTGCGTCAACTCTGGTTGCTAAGTTGAGATTTTGTGACCTTGCCGGTTCACTTTGCTTGTCAAAGCGGTTCGTCGAGGTCCGGCCGGCCAATGCCCCGGGGACAGAGTTGAAGGATTGATGGCGCACGTGCTTGGTATCAGACCGGACATTCTTTTAGTTCATGAGTATATTTAGTTGATTTTTGTGTCCTTGGACGAAATACACGCGTTGGCTGGCTACATGTCGGACTTGCATATTCGTGATGCTGTGCTTTGCGTAGTATCGGGATGACGGTGACCGTTAAATCCAAACACTGCTTTTATTCCATATTCTGAAATATGCATGCTTAGGGGTTATGCCAGCAGACGTTACTCTATAAGAGACGAAGTACTGAAGTTATGTAGTGCAGTAGTAACCTGCCTGTCGGCGTTTCTGAACCGAGTGTAGATTTGTCACAGCCGCACAGAGGATGCTGACAGCTTGTACACAAACACAGCTTTCCAGTGAGTTTAACAAGAGTTTCGAATACTAAAGTGAATTAGTGGATTGTATTATTTTCTCGCATCGTTGGAGTTGTGTTGGCGACGGGCCATGTCCACTCAAGTCCGTTGACCACATCGGCACCAAGTCTTCCAAAACAACTTGCAATGCCTCATATTGATTTCTGCCATATAAACGCGACTACTCGTAGCAGCATCTTCGGGAATTTGGTCCGAAGCCGGTAATCTGTGCCGATCGGCAATTGCCCTGTTTCCTAGGTGGTCGCCCAGCCCGTCATCTTTCGTCAGCAATAAGCAGCCACCCAAGATGTCAGCTTGCTCAGAGGCGTCTGTCAGAACCAACACTGAATTATATAAAGGCATCTCCTCCATGAGTTCTTTCAACTGAATTCCCATCCAACAGCTCTTCATTGACGCCAATGCAGGCTAGCACTGATGAACCGGCTATACCTTTACATTGCCCTTGGCGCGGTCATGGCCAACTCCATCATCGAGCTGGCCTTTGTCACCAACATGGTCAGTTGGCTGCACGGCACAGCCAGTGCAACATTCTCCATTGCGTCCAACGGCACGACCTTTGATCTAATCGGCGTGCCGAGAAATCTTCTAGTCGACCAAGGACACTCCAGCAATGGCGCCGCAGGAACGGCATTCGTCATCGTCGGCCTCGGCGGCGTGCTTGCCCTCTGGCTCCAAGGCAGGTCAATGCATCGCGGGCAGAATTCAAGCAACCTCATCTACCGCACGTGGCTGCTGTTTACGGTTCTGGCCACCGTATTCACGCTCGCCACGCTGGCTTACGTCTTTGCTGTAACAAACAGCCACAAGGGGCAGGTTATTGACGTTGACCTCGCCGCTACGCTTGTCGACACGAGATACCCCAGAGACAACTGGACGCCGCAGGGGTGGTTTGGAGCGGTTTTGCGTCTGGATCTGGCGAGTGCGAGCAAGAGGAGGGATGTCATACAGCACTTGCGCATCATGCATGGATGGCAGTATAATTTGATTCCGATGTTTCTTCTGCAACTCATTCTGACTGTTCTTGCCGTTGTTGATGCTACTGAGGTTCGGAAGTGGAGGAAAGTTGAGTCTGTTGAGGATTATAAGTGAAGATGTTGATGTTGGTCGTTGATGTGTCTGTGACGAATATTTGTTGACAAGGTTGCAGGTGGTAGACCGGCAATAGAGATGAGGAATAGAATTACTCGGATATGTAGATTGGCTCTACGCGGAGAATGGATTAGTAAATGACACATTTTGCTTCATCTCGAGGTACCATGGCTGGGGGAATTCTGAACGAGACCATGATGTGGACCGACAAGGTTGCACACATGACGCATAAAATCGCCTCACATAGTTGAAGTGTGCTCACAAAAAAAAGCCCGCGGGGAACTGGAGAGCGTCCGACGTTTGATGATAACTTCATGCCTCCAAGGCGTCTTTGACTTGCTGTGCTGCGTGCTATGACGCCAGACTCTGGTGTTTGTCAACAGAGCAAGCATGTATTCCATGGATTGACAGAAGATGTCATATGTGGTAACTTGAAAGATTGACGATGGAATCGGGTGGCTGGGCAGTGGATTCTAGCTTCATACATGTATCATGCATGTATGCCGAGAGCCGCACAAAGCGGTCTGCCTGCATATAGCTGCTGGGCAGCCCAAGGACATTCAAGCCTTTTCTTGGCAACCTGCTTTCTATCATGTCATAAGTTGTCTCGTAGTTGAGAAATGTGTTGGACCAGAAGGACAGACAGTTCTCGATTGTGTCACGTGTGCACAAGTGACGTCACCTTTCAATACAAATGCTGATATATTTATTTTCCAACGTCAATTTCGAACCCAACCCGTCTTTGGCATCTAAAGTAGCAAATCTTTCCTCAACGCTTCACCTTGGCATTTTCACCAAGATGTCGAACCCAACGGACTCAGTACCCGTCACCCTGTTGCACCCGGGCGACTTCAGGACGAGGACGATTGCGTGCGCAGCGCAGGGGGAGATGGGAGAGGCCGAGAGTCGTGGAGTGACGATGAATGTGGCAGCCAGCTTTGGCTTGGCATCCACGAGAGAGTAGCGGGATACGGGCTTGTGTGACTAGTAAATTACCATTTAATCGGATCTCGCAGACGGCGTCGTTGTTCTTTTCTGATGTAGGCGACTCTAGACGCTTTAAACGCTCACCACGTATTCCCCGACTATGGGTTTCATCCATTATTACAATTATAACACCGTATACTGATGTTCTCATTAAATAGGTAGTAGTAGTTTACGAACTCCTCACACTGCTTACTGAGCTTCTTCACTTTGGGAACAACGGGATAAACCAACGTGACTTTACTTCCTAGCCTTTATAGGGAAGAGAACCGCCATAATTGGCAAAGCACTACTCAGGGCAACTTGGCGAGCTAGGCCAAAGGCGGTTAACTGGATCAAGTTCCACTTCAACTGTCAAACGGCAAAAGCATGGCGGTTTAGGGTTAGATTTAGAGTTGGTCTTTGGATCCATAGAAACGAGGTTAGTGAATTTGTATACAGCGTTGACCGTCACAAGGGCAGAGCGCAAATAAATAGAGTTGGTAGCGTAAATAGCAGAAGAAAATATGTAAATTTTTACTTAATTATATAAAACTTATATATTAAAGGTAAATATAATATAAGCTATAATACTTATATATACAGCTCCTAATAAACAAACTCCGACTTCGGGCCTCGTGATATTTTTTTGTTGTTGTGTAAGTGTTGTTGGCCCAATGCCCCTTTGTTGGGAGCCAACCGTGTGACAATAACGACCATAACTTCAAATTCAAATCTTGCAGCCAAGTTTAACCTTGTAACTTGAACTTGAACTTTAAAGTGCCCCGGCCCTACTACACGAGTAATTTGATGACCTAGGCCACGTCTCGTTGGCATGAATTGCCCCCTATAGAGCCAATAAACGTCTGGTCTTGATAACAGTGCTTTGAGGTCCTGACTCGTGGGCATTAAAAAATATATTGCTGTGGATTGATTTTTTGGGTTATGAGCTTTTGGGGGCTTCTTAATCCAACAACAAGTAGGTATTTATGCATACATGCTATTGGAGTATGTCTTGGCTTCCGTTTCAAGATAGTATCTCCCACCGGCCCGAGTTTACGTAATTAAATATAATACCACAAAGTATTAAAAGTCTATTAAAAACCTACTTTTACGCCTAAACTTGTTATAAATACTTCTTAAAAATTATTATAATATAAGTTTATTATATACGGAAAGCTTTTTCTTAATATAAGTATACGTATCTTAGCAAAATAATATAATACTTGTAGTTAGGATAAAACAAGAAAAAATACCTAAGCCAGGTTACCGCATAAACCTGCTTTGTTATATTATTTATTATGTTATGCGCAGCCGAGAGGGCGTAAAGCATTTATACCCCTGTGCTGGTTTCGGCATACAATCCAAGTGTATAGGCAAATCAGCATACAGTCCACCCCCTGAATTATTCTTCATGCGTGGACCTGACAGGGCAGCTAGTAGTAGGTGGTAACATTAATTATGGCTTATATATTCCAGGAAATCAGGTATTAGAAGAGGTTTCATAAAAAGTGTTTTTTAATTGGTTAGTAGCTCCCCCCTGCCAGGTCACGCGCATAGAACAATTCAAGGCTTGGACTGTACATACTCATGGCCCACGTTCGATGCTGGTACTCGGCATCCCAACGGCAGCTGGGGTCAATGCATGCTACACTTGGCAATGACAACAGCCGAGTCGAGCAGATACTGGTCCAAGTCGGCTGCAACAATGGGCACAAGGTGACGGCCATCAACGCATGATGCATGGTGAGCTCAATGCCTGGCTATATTGTTAAGATGCTTTGGCTGACAGGTGCTTCGGCGACAGGGATGGCTTCTGGCCTGAATAATGAAACCATGCCGTATTACAGACCTTCCCCGTACATGGTGCCATGCTTGGCCCAGGCCGGCGTGAGTCTAATAATGAAACCATGCCGTATTACAGACCTTCCCCGTACATGGTGCCATGCTTGGCCCAGGCCGGCGTGAGTCTAATAATGAAACCATGCCGTATTACAGACCTTCCCCGTACATGGTGCCATGCTTGGCCCAGGCCGGCGTGAGTCTTGTCGCCTACGTAGCACGAAACTTTTCATAGCCAACGTGTGAGCCTCGCGCTCATATAAATAGCAAGCTATTCATACTTCAACCATCAAGCTTGCCTTGCTCAACAGTAAGTCATTCACTAGCCTCTTGAACCACCATCTACCCATCATCCCCAATCTTTTACCTGGATCATTTCGTCAAGTAGAAATGAGGTACTCCCTCGCCATTAGTCTGGCCAGTGCCGCCGTGTCTCTCGCCGGACCTCTTCAGACCAGGCAGGACAAAAAGCCATTCATCGAGCCGAGTTACGAATGCGGACATGCCAACGGGCCCAGCGGACGCGAGGACTCGGAAGCCTGCTCAGGAACTCTGCTCTACTGCTTTAAAAAAAACTATAAAAGCTTTGGGGAGCACTACAACAGCTCTAAGGCTTGCCTTAATACGCGAGAACCACCTCCTTTTAAAGAGCTTAACGTGAAAGACGAAATTTGCGACGAAATTACTATCAAATGGGGTTCAACCAGAGCATTAAAGGAGGATTGTCTTGGTACGTCTATTTTTTGCAACCAGAGGTGGTACGAGAAAACCGGCGAGAAAAACGGCGAGATGTACGACAACCCTAAGCAGTGCATCGAGGCTCGACGGCCGGCAAAGCCCAAGCCCAGCCCCGAGCAACCTACCGAGGCAGAGCTACCTACCGAGGCAGAGCTCTGTCCACAATTTAATAACAACAGGACTGCTTGTATTACTACAAAAACCATGTGCTTAGGCCAGTACAATACTAAGGCGGAGAGAATTAGGTGTATATACGCCGCCGCCGCCGCCGCCAGGGCCGCTGAGAGACCTACCCAGGCAGAGCTCTGCCCACAGTTTACTGGTGAAGCGTGGTTCACTTGTGGTTGGGTAATAGGAATCTGTGTGCGCCGCCACCAGACCAAGGCGGAGAGAATTGAGTGTGTGCACGCTAAGATGCCTACCGAGGCAGAGCTTTGCGCACCGTTTCATGGCAACAGCACTGCTTGTATGGCTGCAACAGCCGCGTGTTATAAGCAGAAAGGGCCCAATTCCAAGAAGGCGAGAATTGAGTGTGTGCACGCCGCCGCCGCTGCCGCCGCGAGACCTACCGAGGAAGAGCTCTGCCCACCGTTTAATGGCAACAGGACTGCTTGTATTGATGCAACAAGGGAGTGTTTGGGCCAGCACAAGGGCAGGAGGCAGGCGATAATTAAGTGTGCACACAATATCGCCGAGATACGTGCCGAGGAAGAGCTCTGCCAACCGTTTAATGGCGACAAGGACGCTTGTTCTGCTGCAAAATATGTGTGTAAAAAGTATGATGGCCTGCGACGTAAGGAGCAGGTACTTAAGTGTGTGCACGACCACGCCGCCGCCGCCGCCGGCCCTGAGCTACCTACCGAGGCAGAGCTCTGCCCACCGTTTAATGGCAACAGAGAGGCTTGTTTTGTATTGAGAACCTTGTGTATGCGCGAGGATAATGCCAAGAAGGCGATAATCAAGTGTGTGCACGACGTCGCCGCCAATCATGGACTTACCAAGGCAAAGCAACCTACCAAGGCAGGGCTGCCTGCTAAGGCAAAGCAACCTACCGAGGCAGAGCAACCTAAGGCAGAGCAACCTACCAAGGCAAAGCTGCCTGCTAAGGCAAAGCAACCTACCGAGGCAGAGCAACCTAAGGCAGAGCAACCTACCAAGGCAAAGCTGCCTGCTAAGGCAAAGCAACCTACCGAGGCAGAGCAACCTAAGGCAGAGCAACCTACCAAGGCAAAGCTGCCTGCTAAGGCAAAGCAACCGCGCAAGAGCTCCCTACCGAGGCAGAGCTCTGCCCACCATTCGATAAATTTGGCGGCACGGAGGCTTGTCAGGCTGCAATAGATTTGTGTGGACTGATATACGGCCAGCACATGTCTAAGGAGGAGATGATTAAGTGTGTACACGCCGAGGCCGCTGCCGCC